ATATATTTTTTAGTTGTCCAATTAATTTCTTTCTATTTTTAGTAGAGACGGGGTCTTGCTCTTGCTCAGGCTGGTCTTGAACTCCTGAGCTCAAAAAATCCGCCCGCCTCGGCCTCCCAGAGAGCTAGGATTACAGGCGTGAGCCACCTAGCCCCGGCCTTTGGATTTTTTTTTTAAATGGATATCACACACATAGCTATAAAAGGGCAAATGATGAAAAGAGTTTGCCTCCTATTCTATACTCCTAGTCTTTTCTTAAAACAATCACCGTTAAAGGTTAACTGCATGTCCTTCTAGAATTTTTTCATGTATACTTATGAATATATATGTATCCTTTTGTTTTTATACAAAGATGGAAGTAAATATACTTGCTGTTCTGTACTTGACTTTCTTTTTTAAAACTAAAGAATGCATTTTGTAGACCTTCCCCTTATCAGCACATTGAGGTTTTACCTCATTATTTAAAGGCTGCCTGGTATTTGATTGAATGGTATTTCTATAATTTTAGCACTTTAATGGATATTTATTACAGACAAGGATGTGTTGAACATCCTGTACATCTGTTTAGAAATGGAATCTCTCATCAAATAACATGTGAATTTTAAATTTAGATAGATATTACCAAATTTCTGAACCTCGTTTTCTTGACCCCTACAGTACTTCTATGAGTGTCCCCTGGGTTCTGGTGTTGGCTCAGGATAGCTAAAATTTAAAGAGCTCTTACCATGGTGCTAGAAATTATTTTTAGCATTTTACATGTATGAGCTCATTTAATCCTGATGATGCCCCTATGTGTATTAGTTTCTTATTGCTGCTGTAACAAACTACCACAAATTTAGTGGCTTAAAACAACACAGGTTTATTCTCTTACAGTTCTGGAGATCAGAAGTCCTAAAATGGGTCAACAGGACTGTGTTCCTTCTCTAGGGAAGAATCTGTATCTTTGTCTTTTCTAGCTTCAAGACGCTGCTTGCATTCCTTGGCTTGTGGCCCCCAACATCCAACTTTAAAACCAGCAGTGACGCATCTTCTAATCCTGCTCTGTCTTTCTCTTTGCTTCCATTGTCACGCCACCTTCTGTGTCTGTGGCCCTCCTGCCTCCCTCTTGTAAAGATCCTTGTGATTACATTGGGCCAACCCAGATAATCCAGCATAATCTCCCCATCTCAAAGTTAAGACACAGTCACATCTTTAAAGTCTCTTTTGCCACATAAAGTGACATTTTACAGGTTCTGAGGATTAGGACATAGACATCGCTTTCGGGAAGAGCACTATTCAGCCTCCCTCACTGTCTGAAGTAGGTTGTGTGTCTAAATGAGGGTGCTGAAGTACAGAGAGATGAAGTCACTTGTCAAGATCAAGTTACAGTAAGTGGCAAAGGATTTGAACACAGGCATCTGGCTCTAAAATCTATGCTGTTAATTATTTATTCCTGCTGTCTCTGACAGTCTTTTAAACTTTCTAATTAAACTTCATATGGTCAAAAGCACTGGCTCACCAATTCCTCATGACTGCTCCGAGGATCAGATGAACATTTATATAGCTCTATATAAATGTATCATTATTTATCATTATCAAGATGTTATAGGCCAGGCGCGGTGGCTCACGCCTGTAATCCTAGCTCTCTGGGAGGCCGAGGTGGGCGGATTGTTTGAGCTCAGGAGTTCGAGACCAGCCTGAGCAAGACCGAGACCTCGCTTCTACTAAAAAAATTAGAAAGAAATTAATTGGACGACTAAAAATATGTAGAAAAAATTAGCCGGGCATGGTGGCGCATGCCTGTAGTCCCAGCTACTCGGGAGGCTGGGGCAGTAGGATCACTTGAGCCCAGGAGTTTGAGGTTGCTGTGAGCTAGGCTGACGCCACGCCCCTCACTCTAGCCAGGGCAACAGAGTGAGACTCTGTCTCAAAGAAAAAAAAAAAAAAGATGTTATAGCGAAAAACTCCTTCCTCATAGCAGTAAAGAGTCTCTAAGTTAGTTCCGACTTTTTCTTTTCATGATTCTAGGCATTTGTGGGTTTTGAGCATTGCCAATTTAGTACATAGGGATTATTTTAGCCCCCTGTGGGCTATAGCTGTTGTGTGTGCTCTCCTCATGGTATATGGCCTAGAGTCCCCTAAGATTTGTTTCTTGTGGTTTGAGTATTATTCAGTTTCTTTTGGAAAACCTGAAAGGACAAAACACTTCCTTCGCGAACCTGAAAGGACAAAACACTTACTTCGCGAGGTGAAAATTTTATCACAACCTTGTCATTTTGGTGTGTACTATAATGGTAAGTTTGAGGAGAGACTGATTTTTGGTCTCAGAAGTAGAAAGTCACTTGTGGCTCTTAAATTGATACATTTGGCCTGCTAGCCAAAGATATTCATTAATATATCACATTTCTGGAGC